ACCCAGACTCAGAACAACAATTTGTGGATCACACAAAGTATTGTCCCCCGCGACACAGGATATATTCCTAATGCGGGAGTTGTCTTTATTAAAACTAAACTAAAACTAAAACTAACTATGTATTTACAAAAAAAAAGTATATATGTATCTATATCAGTTGTCTAGTACCCATAGTACAAGCTCTGCTTAGTTGGGACTAGCTGGCGTTGTGTGAATGTGGTAGAATATTATTGTTATTATAATCTTACTCAGTCGGTGAAATGCAACGAATTTTTTTATATATTATTAAGTTTTGTGAGGCTATGGTGCCACCGGGACATAAACCGGGACTTAGGAGAATCCCAGCTTATGTCCCGTATTACTTATAAATTCTATGATTTTTTTATGACTTCCAGGAAAACATTTCCTAAAGACAGATCGTGGGTCGCAGTAGTCACATGCATCCAAGTTAAAATGACCAGGTAAGTTATGGCAACGATAACGGAAAAACCATTAACATTGTGATTAATATGTTTGATTTTCCTCAAGAATATATAATGATAGGTACTATTACGATTTACGCCTATTTAATTGTTACTGGTTAGTTGTATAACAACACGCGATAGTAACATCACGGAAAGAGTTTACAGAATAACAATTTACAATGTACATATACACTCGGTTCCAAAAATTACGGGTCAGGCACAAAAATTGAAATACCTCCAGAACTGTAAAAGTTAGATCAATGAAATAAAAAACAGAATAAAGATTTTTTAGTTGCGCTTCTAATAGCATATTATTTAAACTGGTTGATGAAAAAACTTCATTAGAAAAACAAAATTTAAAAAAATGACTATTTTTAAAAACAAAATTTTGGTTTCATTTCATTATATATGCTTTCCATTTCATGAAGTGAAGTATGGCAGTCACGCTAGAGGAATGTTCCAGAATCCTAACTTTTTTGGAACTTGGGCGGAGCCAGCGTGAAACAGTCAGAAACACTGGTGTATCTTTGTCGACTGTTCAGCGGGTAGTCCAGCGGTACCAAGAGACCGGATCACACCTAAGAAGACCAGGAAATACCAGACCAAGATGCACAACGGCCAGGAAAGACAGACAACTGGTGGCTACAATGCTCCGAAATAGTTTTCAAACTGCTGTTGGTCTAAAAACTCACTTTATTCGCTTTGGAGGTGGCAATTTAAGCGCTCCAACAGTAAGAAGACGTCTTGCTGAAGCAAATTTGAAACCATTGAGGCCCGCAAATGGCCCCAAACTGGAACGGGGACATCGAATTGCAAGACAGAGATACGTGCGCGAGCACCTAAACTGGACACTAGACGATTGGTCTAGGGTAATGTTCACGGACGAGTCTAAATTCATGCTTTATAAGCATGATGGTAGGCAGTTGGTGTACAGAAGACTAGGGGAGCGCTTCCATCAAGCGTGTGTGGAGGAAAAAGTGGTGTACGGCGGAGGCTCCGTACAAGTTTGGGCTGGGTTTTCTACTGAGGCCCGCACCGAGCTGGTACTCATTCAAAATGGAACTCTAAATGCAGAGAGGTACGTGGAAGAGATCCTCAATGAACATGTAGGTCCTTTCATGGCCAGGATGGACCGGCATGGCATATTAATGCATGATAATGCGCGTCCCCATTCCACCAGAATTGTACATGACTACCTTGAAGAGGTCGGTATCGAACTCGTGCAGTGGCCAGCGCGAAGCCCGGACTTAAACCCCATCGAGCACGCCTGGGACGAGCTTCAGAGATGCGTGAAAGGTCGAAACCCCCCACCAATCACGCTTCCCGAGCTCAAACAAGCACTGGTGGAGGAATGGGAAGGTATTCCTCAGCACCGGCTCCGAAATTTTACTTCATTTAATACAAAGTATTAAATGAAGAAAGTGATGAAAAACAGCAAAAAAACAATCATAAAAAAATGTAATCTTAAGAAAAATATGACTACTTTAGTTTTTTTTTTTAATTTAGAGATAAGTTAAGAGTTAGAGAGTTTAGATTTAAGTTTTATTTTATTTTTTATCTGTATAATTAAATTCTCAATTGAACAGTCTTCGTTTCATTAGGATGGCATACGTAGTTCGGGAGATATTCGGGTTTATGTGACTGACCCGTTATTTTTGGAACCGGGTTTATATATACAAAAGACTTGAATACATACATTTTCAGCGTGTCACCATCCCTATTAATCCCGTGGGTGCTGAAAGAACCGACTAAGGGAGCAAACTACGTCAGTGCAGACTGCAAGGAGAATGAAAACTTGAAACAAACCATATAACAACCCGTCTGGCCAGCGTGGTATAGTAGGCTAAAACTACCTTTCTAAGAAAAGGCTGATGTCCTGCAGTGGACTACTAAAGGCTTTTGATGATGATGATGATGATTCACACATGTATTCCCGAAGAAGTTTTAAAGTGCTTTGCAACCCTTTGAGTACCCTTCCTCCAGAATTAAGAAGTTGGCCTTTTTTTACCTGCTTGTGGCAGTGCGGTGTATCGGGATCGAACTAACTAAAACCACACTATGTGCCACTCTATACCTGTAGGAGAGATCCGGGAACAGCTGTTATTAGGACTTACGGTCAAGAAGTTGGGAGTCCAGTAACCTCGACCACTCGATGAAAAGATCAATGCTTTACCTACCTATTAATTAAAATGGAATTTAGGGAATAAAGGATGTTTAATATATTAAAAGGGATACTAAACGAGATATATTTAACCGACTTTAAAAAGGAGAAGGTTTTCAATTCGGTTGTTTATATTTTTTTAAGTATGTTCGGGGATGACTTCGTTATAAATAGACCGATTTTCAAAATTCTTCTTTGTTCGAAAGGGATTTATTCCGAAATGGTCCCATTTATATTTCATAGAGATCTGATGATGAGCTTCGGAGACAAAGGAAGTCTTAAAAAAATGACAGCAAATCAACCGGAATTGCTGCTAGGTTTTTAGTGCTCTTTAAAAGTATTGTTTGAACTTGTTTTTTAAAAGCATTTATTTTATTTAAACACAATAAAACAATTATATAAAACAAAAAGATTCAGAACAACATGTTTTTCACCGACCATACACTTTTAACGTGTCATAGTCCAGTGGTTCAAAGGTTATTTCCTGGCTTTGTATGAGGTATCTTTAACGGAGTTCTTCATAATATAAATATGCAATACTTTTCGCTCGCATCTCTGAAGGCCACGAGACAAAGGTGTCGTAACTGATCAAGGGCTGACCTACACCTGCCAAGATACTCAGGAACCCAATCCTGGTAATGAAATCACTTGTGGTTTAGTCAGTTAGATTCCGATATACCATTCCACTGTATAGTTTGCTAAGTGGTCATTATTTATAGGCGTTATGCTATCCGTGTAGTGACGGATTAAGAATGCAGGGTGTCACCAGCCCTATTCATCCCGCAGGTGTCGTAAGAGCCGAATAAGGGAGCAAACTGTGCAAAACAACAGCACTGCAAAAAGAAGGAAAACTTGAAACAACTCTATACCTAGCGTCTGGCCAGCGTGGTATAGTAAGCCAAAACGTCCTTTCTAAGGAGAGGCCTATGTCCAGCAGTAGACTATTATAGGCTGTTGATGATGATGATGATTACCTGAAGAAGATAATAACTTTTAAACTATAGCGTTCCATCTTTGCCTATAAAAGAAGAAGAAAGAACTGATCAACCAACGTACAGCTGAAACCGCTGGGTCTAGAAGCATGAAATTTTGCATAAATATTCCTTAGGTGACGTAAGTGTGCACTAAGAAAGGATTTTTAAAAATTCTACCCCAAAGGAGGCAAAATGGGGTTCGGAAATTTATATGAAACTTCGTTATTTTTGGGTGTTGGCGTATTGTCTACGATGTCTAATATCGAACGGCACGCAGACGGAGTCGCTGGCAAAAGCTGGTGTAAAATATAATTAGGTATGTTTACAGAAATTAATGCAATCAAGATTGGTATTAAGTATACACCTTTGAATTCAAAGGTGTGTACTTAATACCAATCTCAGAGACTTAATACCAATCACACAGTACAATTAATACAACATACTTAATACAATACCATACAATACCAATAACAGACTTAATACAATACCAATCACAGAGTCAGGCTCAGGTCAGTTGACATAGCCTGACAAAGGCATGAGCGCGTTAATGCCGGTTCATCAGACGGCTTGGTATAGGGTTTGTTTCAAGTTTTCCTTATTTTTGCTCCTTCTTCAGGTAATAATTACTTCGGGCATTGAAAAAAATAAACACAAAAATGCAAAAAATACATAAGTATTAAAGAGGATTTCACCCGTTTATAAAAGGCTCTGAAACTCGAGTATTTATAAAGTATATTAAGTTGTATAAATATCTTTATGATATAATCTACAGTATTTTCAATGTTAAATTCGCAGACGTATATTATTAACTGGTTTTTCCGGTCAAAGGCGAGCGTAGGTAATATTGTATGGGTTCTGTACATGTATTATTAACCTTATTATGTATATACATAGCGTAGTAATTAAGGTCAATATTAAAGGTCTTTTTGGCCCAATTGGTAACCAGCGTCAGGCTTTCGTCTGACACAAGGCTGAATTGGGTCCATTTTTTGCCATCGGTGGTAACTCAAGCTGCAAAATTGCAGAAAGCTTTGTGTTATTGCCAAAATAATCTTTACGGTATGAAAATAAAGGGGTTGGCAGCAGGTAAAAAACTTATTTAATATTAAACTATCAAAACACGTGACTCAACAGTATTTAAAAATTAATGATTTTGTTAATGGACGGAAAACAACTTTGTTTTCACGGAAACATAGTTTAATGACTTCAAACCAAAAAAAAAATAATGGTTAAATGGTTTAGAAAAATGGATCTCTAAAAACTTGCTTCACTTACTAAACAAATCACAAAACACATTGACCTTATAGGAACCGCACGTGTATATAAAAATATAGCTGTTTGATTCATTTGTATAAAATACAACAAAAGTGTATAATATTTTCAATTAAATTATATAAAAAAATGACTGAAACAAAAATTGGTGTGCCGATATTTGAACAAGAAAAAAGTGTGTCATTATATTGCCGATTTTATTTACGTGTGGTCTTTCATATTGTGTCGGTGATCATATTCTGGTTTGTGATTGGTTATGCTGTATACATTTTTCACCAGCTCATCACCGAAGCCGTGGAGGTTGAAGATCCTCAAGTTTGGACTTTAAAATGGCTTACACCATGCTATGTTACCAACTGGAATTTTGTAAGTATTTTTTTTTTGATATACACTCACCCTTAACCGTATTTCCCTAAGGGTAGACTGAGGTATAAAACCTCTTTTTGGTAATGTTTTCATGGTTCATTTTCTACCATAAACTTAATGATGTTATTACTATACTATAATACTATAATGTTTTGCAGGCGTACCGCATAAACCCCAGCGGTTTAAGGTATTTATTTATTAATTTGTCTTCTAAAAGACATAGGCCTCTCCTTAGAAAGAATTTTTGGCCTACTATACCACGCTGGCCAGACGGGTTGGTATAGGGTTTGTTTCAAGGTTTCCTTCTCTTTGCATTGCTGTTGTTCTACGTAGTTTTTGTGATAAAAACTATGTAAATGTAATTACTTTATCGATACTTTTAAGTCATCATTATTAATTTATGTGATGAAAATTTATTTTCTTTTTTTGTATTATACTCTATTTATTACTCTACTTTATTCTTTTATTCTATTCTGATATTTATTCCATGGCTTACTCTCTTTCTAGTTCCACTTATCCACAGTCCATTCATCTTTGGTCATTCTCTACTCTCATACCCGCCAACTTCTATCTTAATTATCTAATTCTTCTGTACGTGTGTTTGTTAACTACTCCTAAACGACTGGACCGACTTGGATGAAATGTTGTGTGTATATTTCTATGGGTTCCTGGATGGTTTGAACCAATTTGGACCCGGTAGGTGGCATTGCTGTCGGTGTGTCAACAAATTTGCCACCTCATAGGTGGTTCGAAGTTCGCCGGGTCAGCTTGTACTTGTATAAAATTATTAATTTAAATAATAATTTCTACCTCACACAAGGCTGTCTGATCCCAAAGTGGGCAGAGCCTGTACCATAGTAACCCAACTGCTGATAAACACATATATATATATAATGCTATTATTCTTGTGATAGATAGATAGATCGACACCGTAAAACAAAAACAATGGTTTCTTTATGTAAACAAAAGAAAAAAAAAAGAAACAATAAACAAATAAAAGTAATTATGTGTTAATTAACAAACCTGTAAACAAAAGAAACGACATTCAAAGTTTATTATTGACGTAATACGCGTAGCCATAAACAAAAACACTCTCATTATACTACAGATAATAAAATCAGTCTGCTTCGCTTCATGCGCGGGAAATTTAAATAAAGAGAAATATATTTTTTTCTTTACATATATTTCTAAATACATACATATTATACATAAATAATACCAAGTCAAAAAACAAATGATTCTGCTCATCACACAATATTTATCTTGGGTGGGAATCGAAACCACGACTTTTGGCTTAGCAGTCAGCATAGCACTAGCGTTAGGCCAACACAGTTTCATATTCCAATGCGAATATGTGGCAATAACTTACGCCGCCACAACGACCGGTCATAAAGGACTATAACATCCGAATACTGTCAGACAGCATGGCCGTCCTAAAGGTACTGGAGGGCGACATAATGACCTCTGGTATTGTCTTCGACTCCACCAAGAATTGGAGCAGCTTGCCGCAACATGGGGTGATCCTCCAAGGGAATAAATTGCACAGTAATTTATACGGGAACGACGACGAAGACGGGGCTCGACAACTCCGGCTAGCGGGCGAACCATACTCCTGACATTGCCTTTCAACCAACTTCGATCCTGGGCTAGACAATAGCTCGTGAAGCATACAACCGGAGGTGGAAAAACTCAAGCAGCTACAGACAGTCCAAACTGGTGCTGACTGAAGTTTCACCACGACTCACTTGCAGGCTGATCAACCTAAGCAGACTAGACATCCGAATCTGACCCCTATCCCTGAACTAGCAACTATTCACCATTAATGCGACGGACAGTCCTCTCCGCAGAAATGTCTGATAGTAGAAGAAACCGCCGCTCAAGTGATCCAGGATGCGAGGTAGTCGCCACTCAACGGGCTAGTATCATATCTGATACAAAATCGATCCTAAAAGCCTGTGAACGCCCCAGGAGGCTTCTGCGCTTCTGGAAGGAACATAGTTAGATCACCTAGCCAACTTTTCCTCTACGCATAAAGGACCAGTCAGCGTCACTAGCTACCAAACTAACCAGACCAGTCCAATTAACATGAAAATTAAACATAGTGTAAATGGGAATGGTAGTTTGTTCATCCTTTAACGCCTTAACTACTTAACCGATTCTCGTGAAATACGTGCATGCGATAAGGGCGTGAGATGCGTGTGAATGTCCCAGAAGGCTTCTTTGCTTCTGGAAGAAGCTCTGTTGCCTCACCTAGCCACTAACCTCTCCATAAAGGATCATTCTTGAGTCTCAATGCGGCAACCGGAGCCCATAAGTAATACCCATACCGACCTCTCTCACTCAGTGATAAGTAAAGATAGCGTTGCTGAACGCTGGTATTCTGTGAAGTCATCATTCCGGTCGTGTCTATATGTACGGCACCATGTCTTATTTATATATAGGTATTTTCTTTAACTAATAGATCAGTATCAGTGGGTGTCGTAAGAGCCGACTAAGGGAGCAAACTAAGCAGGACAACAGCACTGCAAAGAGAAGGAAAACTTGAAACAAACCCTATACCAACCCGTCTGGCCAGCGTGGTATAGTAGGCCAAAACCTCCTTTCTAAGGAGAGGCCTATGTCTAGCAGTGGACTAGTATAGGCTGTTGATGTGATGATGATGATGATAGATCAGTATAGCCTCACGAATAAGTTATTAATGTAGACAACTATACGAGTATATTGCCTTTTGCGGTATAAAATAAAATAATAAAACAACTAGAACAATGTAATAACTCAAGACGAAGCCTTGAAGCACGCTTTCTGTTCGTTTTACGTGAACACAAGAGAAATTGCATTGTTACGCTTTAAAATTTCAATAATAATAATATTTTGGACACGTGACACACAACGCCATCTGGTTTCAAACTAAGCAGAGCTTGTACTATGAAAGCTATATTGACTAATAGAATAATTATATTTTGTTTTTGTAAATACATATATATTGTGCATAGAAAACAATCAAACTCCGAAGCATTTGCAGATCATACAAACATATGGTCCGACCCGGGAATGGAACCCGAGACCTCAGTAACTTAATTATAATAATATGTCTCACACATCTCACACACGGCCGTCTGATCCCAAACTAGACAGACCCTGTGCTATGGTAACCAGACTGCTGATAAACATACTTATATTTATTTAAATACATAAATATTATCGATATGTTACACCCAGACACAGAACAAATGACCGTGCTCATCACACAATATGTGTCCTGGGTGGTCTGTGTGGTGACGGATTAAGAATACAGAGTGTCACCACCCCTATTCATCCCGCGGGTGTCGTAAGAGGTGACTAAGGGAGCAATCTACGCAGGACAACAGCACTGCAAAGAGAAGGAAAACTTGGCACAAACCCTATAGCAACCCGTCTGGCCAGCGTGGTATAGTAGGCCAAAACCTCCTTACTAAGGAGAGGCCTATGTCCAGCAGTGGACTATTAAAGGCTGTTGATGTGATGATGTGATGTGGGAATCGAACTCACGACCTCTGGCTTAGCAGTCAGGGTCACTAACCATTAGACCAACAGGCCCGTCAAACTTAAAAGTAATGCCTAACTAGCTATTGCTGTGTATTCACTTGGGTGATTATTTCTTAGTTGGTGTTTCTAACTTTGAAAATAACAAACTTCCACACCTTAAAGATACTAAATTCCCTCCCTTTTGGAGGGTAAATACGATTAACGTGAACACCGTGGTTTCCACACACGAGGGGATCATCTATAAGCCGTAGATGAGCCGTACCACCCGGGGTCCGGTACCAGGGATTTTCTTCTTAGGGCACACCTGGTTCCCCGGCTATTAGTGCCCGAGACGGCATGCGGTTTTTAGTCGGCTTGAGTCCGACATAACCAGCTGTATAGGTGGTTATGTCCGGTGGTTATATAGGTGGTATTCGAGGGGGTATCCGCACAGAAAAAAAAGAATTAATACGATTGCAGACTAAAAGAATAATATAAAAATTATACTGCACGGATGGCGTAGTGGTTTAAGCGGTCACCATGCTACTACTACACGCTGAGTGTTGTGGGTTCGATCCCACCATGGGACAACACTTTGTAAGATCCACAAACTGTTATTCTGAGTCTGGGTGTTCTTAGTGCCCGGTGTATGTTTGTAAAGTTCCCCGCGACTCAGGATATATTCCCAATGAGGGAATTGTCTTTAAAAAAAATAATGAAGATAAATATAAAACAAGAAATATATTTAAATATGTAATTTTTGCAAATAATTTTGATGTAAATGCGAGTGTATTGTATTATTCATTTTATTCTTATTGTTATAATAATATCTTAATCTTTTTGATGACCTCTAAAGCGCGGCAGGAGAGCATTTGACTTCATAAACTCTATAACCTGAAGTTAGGTCGTGAATGTCTGTCTTGCCTGTCTGTCTGCCTGTCCGTGTAGTGACGGAGTAAGAATACGGATTATCACCATTCATCCCGTGGGTATCGTAAGAGCCGATTAAGGAAGCAAAATACGCAGGACAACAACACTGCAAAAAGAAGGAAAACTTGACACAAACCCTATACCGACCCGTCTGGCCAGCGTGGTATAGTATGCCAAAACCTCCTTTCTAAGGAGAGGCCTATGTCCAGCAGTGGACTGTTAGAGGCTGCTGATGATTGATGAGGTCGTTTATATGTATGAACTAGCGACCCGCCACCGCTTCGCCCGGGTGCAGTGTATCACATCACTTTACATCACACACACACACACACATCAACAGCCTTTAATAGTCCACTGCTGGACATAGTCCTCTCCTTAGAAAGGAGGTCCATCACTTTACAAGTCTTTGGAATTCTCTGATTGCCTCCACTAAAATATGCACTTACAAATTCTCAACCCTATTTTATAACAACCCCATTTAACCACTTATAAAGGTAGTTTAAAAAAAATAACAACTTTTTTTATTACTTTTAATAAAGAGAATTTACTGTAAGTTTGAAAACGCT